GTCTTCTGGTTAATCCTTCTAAATAAGAACCAGTTAAAATATCTCTCCACTTACCCCAGTTTCCTTCTGTATGGATTGGCTTGGGTGTCAACTTGACACAATCTAGAGTCATCAGAGGAAGGAGCCTCAGCGGAGGAAATACCTCCATGAGATCCAGCTCTAAGGCATTTTCTGAATTGGTGATCAATGGGGGAGGGCCCAGCCCATGGTGGGTGGTGCCATCCCTCTGCTGCTGGTCCTGCAGCAGATTAATGAATCAAATGAAAGCAGATTGAGCAAACCAGGGGAAGCAAGCCAGGAAGTGGCACCCTTCCATAGTGTCTGCATCAGTTTCTGCCTCCAGGATCCTGCCCTGTTTGAGTTCCTGTCCTGACTTCCTTCAGTGATGAACAGCAATGTGGAAATGTAAGCCAAATAAACCCCTCTCTCCCCAACTTGTTTTTTAGTCATGGTGTTTCCTAGCAGCAATAGAAAACTTAACTAAGACACATTGGCACTATATATGTCCACAAACATTGTATGACATGTGGCTTTTTGGAAAGAAGTAGACCATACTGTTACCACAGGGACCTGGGAGGACATTGATCAATGCCCAGTGAAGCATCATAGTCTGAAGGGACCTCTCACAACCTTCAGAAAGAAGACAATAGTAACCCTTTCTAATGATGTCACCATGTCACCGTGTCTTACTTTTCCTAACTGCTGTCTAGTTGTATGTTTAAATACAAAAGAAAAATCTTTCCAGATCAAGTTGGGGAAAATGTCCCAGTTAGCTTGCCATGCAAGCATGAGGTCCCCCGAACCCATGTAGGGAGGGGCAGAGACCAGAGGATCCCTGGCGCTTACTGGCCAGCCAGCCTAGCCAAATGAGTGAGCTTCAGACTCAAGTGAGAAGACCTTGCATGAAAAAGTAAGGTGCATAGCAACTGAGGAAAAGTCCTGATGTCAGTCACTCTTGGTTTCCACATGCATGCAGACACACATGTACACAGGGACATAAGCATGTACACATACACACCACACATCATTGTCATCTCAGGGGTTTAAAATTTTATTTTCATAAAAGGGGCTTGTTTAATGCCTTGTGCTGCTGGTTAACAACTAAGGGCTGGAAACTGGTGGTAATTTGCCTGTCAGTTATGTCTATACAACAGAGATTGTGGGTAAATAAATGTAACAAAACAAAACTAAACACTATCTGTGGTTAAAGAGAATAGAGGTTGGGGCCTGAAGAGATGGCTCATTGGCTAAGAGCAGTAGTTACTCTTCCAGAAGACCAGGGTTTGAGTCCTACCACTCCTATGATAGGAGATCCAATGCCCTCTTCTGGTCTCCATGGACATGTCATCCATGCCATGTATAGACATGTATGTAGGCAGAATACTATAGACATGAAATAAATAAAGCTTAAAATTAAAAATAATTCTTTGCTTGAATATTTTTTAAAAAGAGGATGAAGATTTCATTTTCTCTCATATCACAAAAAATCTAGAGGCAGGCAGTGGGGGCCAGCAAAGTGATCTCAGGATTCAGGATGCCTTGTGATTTTAGTCCCAGCATTGCTGCCATGGCCCTAGTCAACACAACCCACTCCAAGAAGAGAAACAGAAAAGCCTGGGTCTGTATTATAAAAGCTTTCTCAGAAACCTTGTAAATGTGTTTTCATTAGACATCTGTGACATGTCACTTTGGGCAGCCAGTGAAACAAATGTCATTTCTAGAATGAGGCATTGCTACTGTATCACAGCCTCAAAAAAACAGCAAAAACAAACCTCTCTTCTCCTAATAAGCAAAGGGTATATGCTGGTGAGGCAACTAGTAAGTATTTTCCATGTCAACTGTTATGACACTGGATCCTGGGAGTGAACCAAGCTGGAAGTAGGAAGTCTTAAGTCCAAGATGACCAGGAGGGTCTTAAACAATAAGTTTCCACGTCTGTTTGGCTGCGTGTTTCGTACTGCATGCGGTCTGCCAGAAGCTCACAGCATACAGTGTGCTGTCTTCATGACCCAGCCTTTCCATCCCTTGGTGTGTCATCTTTTAAGTTTTCTCCCTCATTTTTATTTTAGGTGTATGGGTG